TCCTTTTTTTTTTTTTTGAGAGGTTCTTGCTATAGGGCACGTGCGCTCGCCAGACAGACAGATAGAAAGCGAGAAATCACCCCCCAGGGGTTATGGCCACGCCGCAATCCGTTCTCCTCTTGGGATCTTGGGCATGCACGCGCATGTGCCCGGCGTGAGTTTAAGCCACCGGGTCTGGGACTCGAACCGCGGTCGACTACATGGGAGTCCAGCGACATAGCCATTACGCTAACTGCTGGTCCATCGTAATCCCTTCTCCATTGTCCTCTTAAGAGTTGGGGTATGCACACAAATGTGCCCAGTGTGATTTTTAAGCTGCTGGGTCCAAGACTAGAACTGTGGTTGACTGTGTGGGAGTCAAGCATCTTAACCACCATACCACCTGCTGGCCTCCTATTTAATTTTTTAAATAGATGGTTAGATCCATATACTAATGAACTTAAAGATAATCCCTTCTCCATTGTCCTCTTAAGAGTTGGGGTATGCACACAAATGTGCCCAGTGTGATTTTTAAGCTGCTGGGTCCAAGACTAGAACTGTGGTTGACTGTGTGGGAGTCAAGCATCTTAACCACCATACCACCTGCTGGCCTCCTATTTAATTTTTTAAATAGATGGTTAGATCCATATACTAATGAACTTAAAGATAAAAGAGTTTTTTCTTGATTCAGCTGTGAATGGCACGTGCTGATAAGACACTGCTGCTTGGAGACTGAGTATACATGTAGGGCCCGGATTCAGTTCCAAACCCAGCCTAAATAGGTGTGATGGTGCACACCTATAGTTCTAGCTAGCTGGGATGGTGAAGCAGAAAGATCAGAATATGGTGAGACCCCATCAAGAAAAAAACTAAAAAATGAAAAATAAGAACCTCACTCTCTCATACATACATAAATAACTCTTTAAAAAATGTTTCTGGAGCTGACTTGTAGCCTGTTGGTTAAGAGAGCCAGATCCCACATGGTCAATTGTGGTTTGAATCTTGGCCCCAGCAGCTTGCAAAACACACCAGATATGTATGAGTGCTTGCACAAAATCCCACCAGGATGGAGAAATGGAGGAGAAGGGATTATAATATGACCATTTCCCACAGGGTAGGAGGTACTTTCTCTCTGTGTCTTTCTTTTGACAAGCTCGTGTTTCTTCTAACAATTAAAAAAAAATAAAACAGGTTTCCATCTTTCAGCTACCCGCTTTGCATCTCATAGAAGATCAGTGAAAGATTTTTTAATACAGTGGTAGTATTTCTTGTATATACCAAAAAATATGTAACTATATAATGTTTATATTTTCCTTCCCTCACTTTGATATTTTTAATTAATAGGATTTTGAAACTCTTATAAAGGTGCTTACTCTTTTTTTAAGGATTATTTATTTTAATTTTATTAATTACTATTATTATTATTTAAATTTGACCAGAGAGAGAGAGAAAGGGAAAGTGAAAAAGCAAGGTACCAGGTCCAGGATTCGAATGGTGGTCAGCCATGTGGGAGTCCTGCGCCTTAACCATCACACCACTTGCCGGCACCAAGCTGCTTACTCTTTTAAACAACTGCATAATATTGTCTTGTAATTATATACTGTAATTAATTTACCCTTACTGATGAACAGATTGGCTCTTTCCAGTCTTTTGCTGCTATTAATGTTCTTTTTCGTAAATTTTTTGTGAGACAACCACAGAGTTGTTTTCAAATATATATATTTGTTAAATGAATAAATACTTTAGGCAGTGAGAAGCTATTAAAGGATTTCAAGAGAAATTATAATTTGGAATGGTTTATATTTTAGGAAGATAATTCTGGTGGCTTTATGGAGGAGGGCAACTTGAGGAAAATTTTTATTTGAGTTCTGTATCAGTTGAGACTTGATTTCAAATAACCCAGGTCAAATCAATCCAAAAAGAGTTTGCTAGGTCTTGGAATCCTGAAAGGTTGAAGAACCAGCCATATGAAGGATACATCTGGGCTTCAGGAACAAATAAAAAGCAAGGATGCAATTACCACTATTATTTTCAGTTTTCATTCTGTTTTTATCGATTCTAGTCTGCCTACTCATGGACCAATTAAATTTGGGCATAGAATTTATAAGAATATGGTAACTTCCTAGATAACCATGTGGAGTGAATTAGTAACTGTTGAAGATACTGTAGCAGTCCAAGAAGAGATTTGGATTGTTAGAACTAGGTGCTGAATGGAAGATATGGAATTGAAAGAGGTTAAATAGCGTATCATTCATAAAGGAGGAAGGAGAATTAGAGTAATTATCTTTTCTATCTTAAGCAACTACTGGTTTGGTGAATCTGTTAATTAAGTGGGGAGGGAAATAAGAGTATGCTTATGATGAGATCACAGTGAGTTTGACTTTAGAAATAATACATTGGAGTTCCTTAGAAGACCTAGTTGAATATAGACATCTGAATCTTGGAAGAAAGGTCTAAACTACAGTGGTGCTTAGGAAGTTGATAGCAAAAGACAGGGCTGTGGGAGTGAATAAATGTAGCAAGCTTATTCTGTATAAAATGAGAAGAGACTTAAAATTCTGGAGAAAAGCTAATAGTGAATCTTTTAATAGAGAAAGAAAGTATAAAATAAAAGGACAACCAGAAAAGTAAGAAGAGGGGTCAGCAGGTGGTGTGGTGGTTAAGGTGCTGGACTCTTACATGACTGACTGCAGTTCAAGTCTGGGACCAGATGGCTTGGAAATCACACCAGATGTGTGCATGTTCTTGCCCAAAATCCCAGGAAGAGAATGGAGGAGAATGGATTGCATTATGGCCGTCCCCCTTCAGGGGGCAATTTCTCACATTCCGTCTCTGTCTCTCTGGAGAGTGCATGCACCTTATGGCAAATACCTTGAAAAGAAATGAAAAAAGAAAGAAAGAAGAAATAGAGTATCATAGAAACCAAAGGATTTTATCCAAGAGAGAGATGAATGGATTGAAAAAAGTCTATTGTTTTTTGCCATTAGAAAGATAATGGTAATGAGAGTAGTTCTAATCTCAGTTTCCCAGAACAATCATCATACTAATTATAATTATCACTTTTATATTTCCTTCTGTGTGTCAGTCCCTATACTAGTAGGCTAATATGCTATTACTAAACCTCACCACAATTAATCTGCAAGGTGAGTATTATGCTGTGTTACAGACAAAGAGAATCTGAGAGTTTACGTCTCAGGATCACATAGATTTCCAAGATGATGCTGATTTCAACACAGATCATTTTGATTCTGAAGTTAGTACTTTTTTCATTATATTACATTCTCTTTCTTTTGAACCTTATGCAGTTTTTTAAGTTTTGGAGCCCTCTTTTCCTTAAGTGTCAGTCAGGGATAGTCATATCTGTCACACATATATCAAAATGTTAAATAAATACTATGGTAATGTTATCTACATTTTGTTTGAAAACAAGAAATGTATGTTTGGTTAAATACCTGACAAACCTTATAATTGTGGCCATCTTTAGCACTATTTTTTGTCTAAACAGTATTTTACTTTTTAAGGTGGTGGTATCATGGATACAGAAATGTCTGAAGATATAGACCACAACCTAACTCCTACCATTGACAGCATGTCTTACGGAATGCCG